GTTGTTTTTTGGCATCTGCTCTGAACTCCGCTAAAATCACTGAAAACTAAGTTTCAGGAAACTTTGAATCAGGCCCTTGATAAGGGCAATGTGGATGAGTTTCAAATTTTGTTCCTAGTCCTTGGCAGTTATTCATGTTATAGACTTCTTGGCTTACGAAGGAGCTGGATTTCAGTGCTTTCATGTTGCAGAGGGAAATGAACTCCCCTTACAAACAGAAAATAAGAGTGAGGCAAAGACCGTAATTTTGTTACCACCAGAGTCTATTTTCACATGCTTAAATAAATGTTCCATGTACTGGTAAAGCAACATTATTTTTACACCCAAGGACTTAAAGGGAATATTTGTGCTTGCATGAACTGAACATTTAAGAATTTTCTTCGTACGTATTTGAAATTTGGCAAATAACAGTGCTTTGCTGTGGGTTTCGAGGATAATTTTGCTAAAAAGTCCTGCACATAGGAAAAAAATTATCAGGCTATTTTTGCAGCTGTTAGTTCATGATCATTTTGTAAGGGTAGAAGTGGTTAGCTACATCATACTGTGCTTAGAAACCGTCACAGAGGTGAGCACATTTATCTTAGAGTAGTATTTTCCTGTTTCTTCATCTGTATATTTTTGCATATGCAGCTGCGCACTGTACAGGAAAAAGATGGGAGGCATGGGGCTGGGAGGGAGTGGGAGACTTTCTCATAATAAACAGCGTGTTTGCCTCTTCTGTTAGCTGCTATTAAAGACTGACTTCAAAAAGCTCATTTTATGAGAGTGCTGGGGGCTGTTTTATGTTGAGCAAGAGTTTGCTGCTTTAGTTCAGCCCATCAGGTATGAACGATTGCTCCCCAGGATGGCTCCATTGGGGTGCTGAGGAGGGGACAAAGTGGGGATGGGCTTGGGAGTGAGGGGGGAGCGCCCTTCGGGGTGGCTGCGGATGTCACTGGCAGGCACTTAAGGAGGCATCACATTATGCTTGCATCTACTTTATTTGCACTATAAATAGAGAACTTGAGCTCTTTGGAGTGAAATACTCCCCTTCGCTGCCATTAAACAAGATTTCAGCTTCCCTCTGCCCCATGCCTATCAAAGGCGATGTGTTTGTCCTCCTGGATGTCATCACGTATCACCCTTCCTTCTTAAAGTTAAATCCAATGCTTTTTTCTTTTTATTTTCTTTTATTTTTTCCCCTTTGGTTTCTTTGTTGTTGTTGTTTTATTTCTAACTTTGGGCTTTCACTATCTCTCTTCACTGAAATCAGCAGCAGTTTGTACCTGGAAAAAGTGAAACACCAGATTAAGTGTTTTCTTGAGGAAAAAATGCCCAAATATACTCGTCTTAGAAATCAAAATGCAGAATGGTTCCCTGCGGCTGTCCTGCAGAACGTGTTTGTGTCTGATAGTTACTACCCAGCCACAGTGACCTGAGAAAAGACATTTTTGGTTATTCTTGGTATTTTACTTCATTCAGCTGTTTAGACAGCATGAGGAGAGAAAATAGTTTTCTGTTTGATTCTTCAGCACAGCGCTGCTAACTTGGCCAGTGCTTCTGAGGTTGGGATCAGTGCGTTAGGAAGGAATGTTCTCAGTCCTGTCCCTCACTTCCATCATAATCTTTTCTTACATCTTCTGTCCGTAGGTATAGAATTACCTTTAGATTCTTCTAAATAAAAACTTTATCGTAAATGCTTTATTTAGCATTAGGATGATTTTTACAAGGTTTACCTTTTAGGTCTGAGAAAAGAACGGATCACATAGGTCACATGAATACCACGTGTCCATCAAGGTGAGTTCTGAATGTGGAAGGGAAATTTTCCCTCATGGAGAGGGAATTAATTAATTAATTAAGTGTCCTTAATTACTGTGAGTGTTGTCGTTGTTTGGTCAGTGAGTTCACATCCTGAACTTCCCATGCACTGGGAGTTCTGGGCCTAAAGCTGGGCATGCTTTGTGTTGAATTTCCTCCATGAATACAGTAAGATTTGAATAACCATTGCTAAAAAGGAAAATCATTTAATAATGCTTTTCACTCACTCTTATTTTTTCTTTAACTGTATATAATTGTTTCCTATAGACATTAAAGACTAAGGGAGGTAGCTAATTGCAGTATAGAAATCTCTGTAAAAGCTTTCTCACAAACTTCTGCTAATGCGTTTAAGTCCTGGAGATCTGAGTAGTGTTCAGCTTTCTAAACCCTGTGAAATAATAGCTCAGACTGCCCATAGTGCTCACAGTAAAACTCGTTCCATTAATTCATATTCCACAAACATATTCTGAGATTTTATCATCAGCTCAGTATTTAGCTCATGCTTTATGGAAGTTTTGTGAAGCTTCGCAAATCCTTTCTCTTTTTTAGCTCAACCTTAAGTGGGCTGCAGTGCAGTGTTTTATGCATCTCTACTAGTGTGCAACCAAAGAGAGTTTTTTTGTTGTTGTTGTTCTTTGTTTTCCCCCACAAAATGGATGTGATTTTTAAATTGACTGAACAGAACTGTAAGCTTTTAGTTGGGTTTAGATATAAAGCTCCGAGTAAATGAAATTTGATGCATTTTTGCATTCCTCCAAAGAAAGCCTCTGAAGTTTATTGCAAGCTAATCACAGACCTCTTGCTCCTACAATATAGCAATCCAATTAGCAGCATTTGGTTTTAAAGCATTGAGCATATTTTCTGAGTGGGAATTATTCAGGTTTAAAAGCCTTAAATCTGTATCTAAGTCTAGTAGGTCTTGTTTAATTGTAAGGAATCATTTACTTTGACAGCAGTTTAGATTTTTCTTTAATGCTGTCTCTGGGTTTTATATTAATGCCCACAAAAGCAGAAACTAGAGTTAAATCTGGGCAGGTGATTTTTTGGAATAGTTTGCTAAATATATGATGGAATCCTTTTTGTTTTAAATCGTTCCCTGGCAGTAGATGTTCAGAAGATCCCCCTTCCTGTTTGACAAGGGACTCTTCCTCTGAAATGGATGGATACCAGCCACCACAGAAGTGCATTTATCAAACCAGATGTTTTATGACTATTAGAATGATATATGGCATAAAACTAGATCCCGGAATTTGCTCTCATGGTGATCAGATGACAGTAACAATATATAAAGTGCTACCACCTATAGAAGTCCAGGCAGGACATTTGTTCCTCTGCTGTTGCCAAGGGATTGGATTTTGATTTCTGTAATGCTTCCAGCTTCCATTTAATTGAATTGTGGTTGATGATGCTGATACATTTGATGTACTCTGAACAAGCAAGCAAATAAACATAAAAAATGTTTAAGAATATTTTTGTAAGCTGCAATAAAAGACTATTTGCACTGCTTTTTATGCAGTGATATATTTCAAGAGAACAAATTAATTTGATGGACCTTAGTGATCTCATATATTTATTATTTTGAAGCATGGATTTTGAGGATGTTATTTTTTGTTTTTACAAGTCAAGTACGGTAGTAGCAGTGATGTAATACAACTGTCACACATAATTTCCAGTAGTTGAAATTCTTAATTTAGGTTTCTTTTCATTGGGCTAAAATTAAGTTCGATTCCCTTACTACCTTCATTTTACACTTATTGTGCTCTACTTGTTGTTAATAAGTTTGCTTCTTGTTTTAGTGCAAAATGAGTTACACACATCCACTGTGTACTGTGTAGTTATGGAGTTGAAGCAAAGGTTTGTTGTTGTTGTTGTTTTGCTTGTTTTTAAGGCTTGATTATTGGTTTGCCCACTGAAATTTGAGAATGTGATGTCAGATGGAAACAAGTGAAGCTGGAAAGCATAGGAAGTCTGGGAATGGAATAACAGGTGAAGGGACTGGTAATCTTGGGAGCCTCACAAGAAGTACGTGGTCGGAAGGGTTACAAGCAGCTTGAGGCACTGCTGTTGTAGCATGACTGACAGCCTGAACCCGAAGCAAGTACGTAAGAGAATGATTTATTTAAAAATATATATGTATAGGACTAAGGAGAAACCTGTGCCTACTCCCCTCCCATGAATCTGGCCTCAGGTACTGTCATGTTCACTTAAGATCATCCCTTCAGAGCCTGAGTGTTTCCAGAGCTGTGAGGGCAGCAACCTGAGGTGTGGTGTGCTCCTCTGGCACCTGCCCTGCTCCGCCTGCCAGAGTGCTCCATAAGAGCACAGACAGCCCTTTGCTTAGAAATGATACAGCTCTGTTCACTGCAGACAAAGGATACTGCTTAGGGTGCCTCAAATAGTGAAGTGTGGCAAGGTTCAAGTGCTCCCCACGAGGAGTGCATTGAGTAAGGAGCTGAGTGCCCAGGAGGAAGGTCAGTCTGCTCTGGGACGTGTCAGCCACTCTTCAGGAAATGCAGCTTAGTTTTTGGCAACAGCAAGATTGGGTTAGGCACTGTGTGGCCCCGCTGTGAACACGGACCTCTGAGGATCTGTTTTCACCCACTTTTCTGTAGTGGCGTTGTGATAGAGCCACTAAACCAACCCCTCTACACCACAGCATGTTTTAAAATCAGAGATGTGTTCACAAAACTGTGACTGTGAGCTGTGAGAGAAGAGAAACTCTTGTGACTGCTCCAGTGTCAGAGCATTCCTGGCCCTGTCAAGCAGAGCAGACTCCAAGCAGCACAGTGGGCTCAAGGGTGTTGGCTGTAACAAAACTGCCATCCCAGTTAGCTCAGGTTTGTGATTAGCCAGCATCTACATTACTCTGCAGCACAGATGTTGTTTAAATCTTTTATTTGAGCTCTTAACTTATTTAACGTTAGATTCCTGTGAGGCCTCACACTTGCGTATCATATTTTTAAGTGCTCCTTAATGTAGAAGACAGTTTGCATTTTTGCTTTCTAGACAAAGAGCAACCTACATGCAAACACTTCATTCTGACATTTGTTTCTCCTGATGGGTTTTCTTTGTAGGCTTCCTGTTGTTGGACAATAAGTTGATGGTAGCGGTAGATAATTTGGATGGCAGAAAGAAGAAAACTATTACTGAAGTACAGAAGTGACTCTTACTATTTTTACAATTATTTGTTAATGTTTTTACAGATATGTCTTGAAAAGAGGACTTATTTTGAAGAGACATGAAGACACACTGGCATGCCTAAAAGAAATGATTAATGAGGAGAGCAAAAAGAAAATTTTGGGATGTGGTGAAAGGTGTAAGTAAAACTACAGTGCTACTACAGTGCTATAAGTCAGGTTATATGAATGTTGTTTCCCTGGTATGCACACCTGCTTATTGAAGTACTGCATTCTTACTGAAAGAATTACCAAAAAATGTGGAAGGTTTTCATTTCATGCCCTTTCATTTAGGAGAATTTGTGACTGTCTGATACCCATGAAATATACGGGAAGTTATGATAGAGTGGTAGTACTGACTCCTGGTTTTGATAGATTGCCATGCAGGAATCAAATCAAGCTTAAAAACTTTTGAGTTGTAGCAATCATGTGGACGATGAAAACTATAGCTGCAAAGAGGTGTGATTCAGATAGTTTGGCTTCAAACCCTTTAATTTTCCTGCTTGGTTGTGTCTTCTCGATCTGCTGGCATCTTCTATGCTTACCTTCTGCAATTACCTGTTTTTTCCTTTGCTGATTCAGCTGTACACCCAGGTTTGACACCACTTCAGGTGCTGCGTCTCGAATACAAGCATCACAATATTACACTTAGAGTCCTGCCACACTTTGGCAGCTTTGCTGGAAAAAGTGGCAACTTTTTCCATCTGCAGCAAGGCTGAGGTAATCCTCTTCAGCAGCACTGCCTGGAAGGCCATTTTGTCCCTGAAATCTAGTTAGTTCCAAAGAGAAGGACAAGAAAACTTTCCCCCTGCAAGGAGGGAAAGGACAGGTAGCTCCTATCTGGAATTTGCATTTGGGACTTATGGAGGCAACGCTGTCATGAAACTAAACAAAAGTTCTCCAGCCAAGCCATATCCTCCTATTTTTGCTCCTTTAGCTAGGAAAAACCTTTTTGTTTGGAGGAGAAGATCAATCAGGCTGTTTGTTGCTCTGTAGAAGAAGAACGTGTGAATTAAAAATAAGCTTGGGTGGTGCAATGATTCCCACTACTGAAAAAATCTTTAATGGTTGTATATTTAGCTTGGCAGTCAAAGAACTTTTGGGATTAAGTTTACAGAGGGAGCAATACTGCCACTGCCACATTGTTCCAGAGTATTGCAAAATGGATGTGGAGGAATCCCTGGGGAAAAGCTCTATTGTCCTTCGGTCTTTAATTTATGAAAAGTTAGAACTTTTTCATTTTTAACATTTTAATGGAAATGCATATTTTTACAACTTTTGTATCATAAGTAAAGCAAGCATTTACATACTAAATGCTGCGATGCTCCCAGTGATAGCCTTAAGCAGATGATGCTGGTTCACTTTTTGCAAAGGTGTTTCACTCTGCCTAGCTTTTCTGCAAAATCTTTGAGGGGAGAAAAAAAAAAAAAAAAAAGGAATGCAAAATAAATCCCTCATTTGGGTTTTAATGTAATACAAATGCTTTCTAGCTTTCATCAGAAAAATCCTTGAAGTTGGTGCAATATCGAAAAGCTACCATACAGTGCAATGAAGACATACAACTCTGATTCTGTGATTGTTTATTATTTAGAAGAAATTCCTTTCATACATTCTCACAAAATGTATTAGACAAGGAAGCAATCTTACTTTTAAATTTGGAAAATCTGATGGGCTGTAATGTTGCACTGCAGCTGGACATTGTGTGAAGAAATGAGTTCAGCTGCAAATTTACAGAGCTGAAATTATAAAAGTTGATGATAACAGTTTCCTTTAGTAGATACTAGAAATCACAGAGCAGACTATGCCTTCTATTTTAAATGAAGTGTATGCATCACCAAATTTAATTTGTGTACAATTAGGGGCAAAATATTCACTGGTCTATAATGAAAATAAATGAAGGTTCCAGAAATCAAAATTCTGGGACATTATCATGAAGCAATACAGATGTGAAAGGCATGTGGACTATTTCTCTGATCCTAGTAACCCAATTAGGATTGACATATACAAACAGACCATTTGTGCTGAAGACTATTACTCAATTCCCTTTCTTTTGAATGCTGGATTTTTTTTTTTATTTTTTTTTATTTTTTTTTTATTTTTATCCATAATACTCTGTGTTTATATTCTAGTATACTACAAGCATGCAGGCTGACATCTTAGTGAAATCACAGTAGCAGAGATGCAGGTACGATCAATGAGCATGTAATTGAAATGGACAATTCAATGATCTTGAATCATATGATATCTTGCAACAATCACGGTGAGATTCTGCTTTCTTCCAAAATCATTCCTTTCATTTGTAATGATCAGCTGGGGAGGGAAGGAGTAGCATAAGAATGAAAAAAACTTTTGTAGAAGCCATGTTCATATCCCTAATAAATAAAGAGTTTGCACAGAATGTTCAAAGGCACATTTCTGCCTGATTTTCATGTTATTAGTGAAACTAAAATAATTATTCTGGTTCTATTTCCAATCATCATTTTAAGAAATGGTCCAGATTCCTATTACCAAGCTATTTTTATACTTCTCCAAATGGAGTTCTAAGTGGGTGCAAATTACCTCTGTAACTTAATAGATGTGAATATGCATCCCATTATTAGAAACAGTTAGAAGGAAGGATTGATAGAGAAGCACTCACACCAGCAGAGCTCACTGCAAAATTTATTATTCTCAAACTTTATACTTTTTTTTTTTCTTTTTCTTTTTGTGCTTCTAGAAAACAGTGAAGTGAATTTGATGATAATGAACTGGTGATTTTACAGCCTGGGATACCAGAATTCTGTTTATGCAGTGAACAGCTTTGGTAAGTATTTCTCTCATAATTCAATCAATGTGCATCTCTTTGAAGTGTGAGACTATGTGGAATCTATGTTCACAGTCCTTTTTAAACTTTTATTCAAAATTTCCTCAAACAGGCTAACATCAAAATCAGCTGAACTTCTTTGGTTTAATATTTGAGTGAAAAATTGAGTAGCCCCTACTTCCACACACAAGATTTTTGAGCATCTACTGGACCTGCCAGCTAAGGTCATGCCTGTAATATTGGCAGTTAGCATTGTCAACATTGGCTGACTTGAAATTGCCAGCTATTTTTCATCTGAGTCCTGAAACAGCTGCTAAAGGGGCAATGACTTCTGGCAAGTGGTGATGAGCTGGAATTTAAAGTAAAGTCAAGTCATCCTGTTTTCAAATCCATGTACATTCTCCTACACGCCAGCTCCCACATATGTACACATTCTTGAAGAAATCCCTGTTTGCAGTATAAATAGTTTGCAGCAGTGTAGAATATTTAATCAAAGACAGTACTCTCTTGGGCCACACATAAATGGGTCAAATTGCAGCTTGAGGTGCCTTCTAGCTTGGACCCCCTGTGCTGAGACATTCACAGTGTGGATAGCTGCTGCTAGAGCTGTCTGCACTAGTTTCTTGGCTTTCATTCCTGCAAAGCTGCCAGGTGCAGATAGAAGTACATGGTGTAACTCTGACCTTGTCTGTGTAACAGTGAGCCAGAGGGTTTCCTTTTAAGTCACTGTCTGCACAGAAAGGGACTCAGAAGGGCATGGTAGAGTGTAAGTTTGTATGTATTTGTAGGTGGGGTAGACGTAGCTGGAATCCCACCAAAAAAAAAAACAGAGACATGATCCCTCTGCACTGTAGTCTAGGGTGCAGCTAAGGTCATCTAGATTCATGTCTGTCCCCATTTGAAGCTGATCAAAATAGGAGAGAACAAAAAGATAGCACACAATTATCATCAGCATTTTTCCTTTCTTTGTAAATTCTCACTTCAAAATCTAGCAATTTTGATTAGCACTGCTCTAATTGCCTATTGGAAAACAGCGTTATGTGGCCACACTCTTCATAAGTGAGTGATGGCAAAAAGGTTTCTAAAAATTCTTGTCTTCCCCATCACCTGTATAGAAATGCATATCCAGCTGTCCCAAATGGGGCTACTGCCCCTTAGAAATTTTCCAATCAGATGATAATGGCAGTGGGGCATTAATAAGGAATAGTTTCAGTGCTTTAGAAGTATTGCTTCCATTCCTTGCTTGCAAGCTCAGTTTCTGTTTGTACACAGCTGTGTTGACCTCATCACGCTTTGACATGCGGTTTCCTCATCTATCGATGAGGATTAAAAATCTTTTTCTTCCTCACAGACTGGAATTAATTCATGTCTGGAAGTTTTGATAGCCAACAACAGGAAAAATGTAGAACCATAGATACTCTTGAATGTTGCTGCAAATGGAATCTGTGTATTTGAACTTGTAACACAGCAATCGGGATACCTGTAGAGTTACAGGGAAGTGGCAATTGGAGTGAATTCTCTCTTAAGAAAGATATCTAGAACCCGAAGGCATTTTCCTCAATTGAGCTGGTGTTACAGAAAATTCTGAAAGACAGAGTTCTGGAAGTCCAGACACTCCTTGTAACATGCTGCCAAGGCTGTTGGTTTCAACTAGAATTTCCAGAGCCATAAAATAGGAGATTACTCCTGTTTGATGAATACTCCGATATTATTCCCATTACTCCTAAAAATTACTCAAGATATAATGTTTCCATGCACTGCAGTTAAAGATGTGTTCAATTTAAACCAAACTGTGCAAGCCCATGTAACTCCTGAGACACTGAAACAGTGCAAAGGTACTTGAGGGAGTACTGATTGCTCAGCTTACCTTACACCAGGGGTTGAAACTCAGATGAAAGACATGGAAAATCTGGCTTGGAAGATGTCAAAAAGAGAATGAAATCTTACTTTCTGGCTGGTACAACAAATGTCTATGGAAAAGAGGGATTATAATTATGCCAGCTAGTCACCAGGACCTCCTGCAAATACCCACAAGGGCTGTGGGAATTAATGCAAGGAAGAGAATGAAACCATCCAGCTAGAACATCAAAACCCCCCCAGCGGCAACGGTGGAATTGGTCCAGCTGGACATGTTACCGCCCGCTTGCAGAGCTGCACAGATCAACAACCACCTCTGCTCCCCGTCTCGTTACTGTAGGAGTTCCTGCTGGAAGATGCTCCAGAGAGGCAGCAGCAATTCGGAAGCAGAGACCTAGCTGAGCCCCTGTGAGAATATTATGGTCTGGGGGCACAGGTCAAGGTGTCTCTTAAAACTTGAGACATTTGGCTATGGGATGCACTTTTGCCCCTTTGCTAAATGTGTTGCAGCTACCTCTTAACATCCCTTCTCTTCACTGCCCGTCTCCTCTTCCGTGCCCCATGAAGGTCTCCCCAGCAGTAACACTCGGTTGTTTCACCTTTCTCCCACTTCCACGTTCCCACATGCTCGGCCCTAGTTACTCCACTTCCCTCCATGTACATTTGGCCATTAAATATCATTTTAGATCTCTCTCTTAAGGAAAGAAAGGAAAAAAGAGAAGAGAGGCAAAGCTCTTTCAGTGTCTTGTAACCATGTTTGCTCTTTCTCTCTGCTAGATTTATCTCCTTTCACCTTTGAAAGGTTGTGGAAAATTTAAGAATGTGTTTGTACAGTCCAGAAGTAATGGGGACTGGTAGAGAGAATAACGAGAGGGTTGTCCTTACCTTTCTGACAGGGCTAAAGGTTTTTTTCTTCTTTTTTTTTGAGGCAGTTGGCAGCAGTGTGGCTCTCTGTGCAGATGAAATGTTGGAAAATGTACAAGGAATGTCACTGTTTGAACTAGAGTTATAGATAAGAGTCATTCTTACCCAGATTACTTTCTGTTTAACTTTCAAAACAACTTAATGCAGTTTAGCAGCTTTGAAAATTTCTTCTGCTTTTTGCTTTCTGCTGCATTTGGTAGAGGTGAGTGTATGTACATGTATACGTGAGGAGCCCCCAAGTGCACGCTGAGGAAAAAGCAGGGATGTATTTACTATGGATTGTGAGGTGAATGAAATAAGGAGCAGGCACACTTCTGGACATGTCCATCTTGTGTCTGAATTGATGATTTCCATGCAGAAATTCATCTGAGAGTTCTGTTTTGCAAGACTGCTTCTCTCGGGGACATTCACTACACATAATGTGACCATGCTGATCATGAGGTGCCTCCAGCCTTTATGCTACAGCCCCCCCCTGTTCTGACAAGAATTGGAACAGATTTTGGGTACATATTTCTCTCAATAAGTGGCACTTCCCTTCCTTTTATCTTTTCCCTTCATTTGGTACCAATACAGTATTAAGTTGCAATGGATCATTACATTGAAGAGGGAGTAAAATAAGCCAGCTCCCACAGTAAATTCTGGAAGTGCAGCATTATCTCCCACACATTCTCTCACTGATATTTATTTCTTCTTCCAGGATTTATGCTTATTAGCACTGAATCCTCCTGGTGCTGTTTTCAGCCCCAGCTGCTCCCATCTGTACACAGTGATACTCTTTTGTGCAATGTTACCCTCCCTGCAACAGCAAATTTAAATATGATTAAATTTGCAGGTGAGAAACACACAGGAGAGCAGGACTTGGAGCTGCCAATCTGGGAGAGCTTAAGTTATCAAAAAAACCTATTGGACACTCTTAGATATTGCTTTTTTTAACAGGAGACTCTGACAACTACTTTACAAGAACAAATCCACAGACCTTATGGAAGTATCTATGGACCGCTGATGGTCTACAAAGAATTTAGATAACTTTGAGTGTTCATTGATTACTGCAGATGAGGGAGGAAGAATTAAGTTAGAATTCGGTGGAGGAGGATTTTATTTATTTCTGATAGAGCACACAGTTTAAAAAAAAAAAAAAAAAAAGAATCACAGAATATTTTTTCATAGATATTATCCTTGATTTGGTTACAGCATTTCATGTATTTGGCATATAAGTTAGACTTAATTTAGTATTGTGGCTTAGAGATTCATTTGAGACCAATTCTGCAAAGATGCAGAATCTTTAAGTCTTTTATTGTCTTTTTTGATCTCTTCAAGTCCTTGCCAGTGTTTAAGTACTTTTTTATGGCTAGGTTAAAGCACATGCAGAAATTTCCAAGGTTTTATTAGAAACAATTACTTGTTTCCATAATAAAGTGTAAAAAAAAAGTAACACAGTGGCCTAAAAGTAGATGAGAGACCCTAAGATTCCTTGTTAAAAATAATAAACATACTGAATCATTAAGAAAGCCTGTGTAAGCTCATAAAGTTGAGATTACACAAGAAAAATGCTGACCAAATTGAAGTGGCAAGTACTCCATCTTTCCAGAGGTCAGGGGATATTTTAAAAAGAAGAGTGCTTCTTCCTCCTCAGCTCATTGTCTCTTTGCTGCTGCTGTGCTGAATTCTGTCTGACAGCATAAGAAAGCATTGATTATTTTGGAATATAAGGCCTAGCTGTGTTTGTCAGTCTTCACCTGCATATGAATGATAAATATACGAATATTGAGGTTTCTTCTCATATGAAAAAGTGTGTAATTCTACTTATCTGTGTTAAAAAAAAAATCTGTGTTGGGAGTCACTGAAATCTCCTCAAGCACAAGGACACCAGCCTGTTCAGGTGGACATCAGTGTGATGTCCAGCATTAACTGCGAGCGATGCTCAGTAATGAACATAAAGGGATGAGCAGGATCGTCAGTAGTCACCTGGGTAATCACAGAAGAGGTGGGAAAAGCACTACTCTGATCAAGGCATGGTTGAGAAGCTAAATATTGAATCTGTCCTTAATGTTCACATTGCAGCCACGTCTTTTAAATTCTGCAGTTTGCAACTGGTGCTTCAGCTAGGAAGAATGTTAATGTGACAGCGTGTGCTCTTTTGGTGAGGAAAAGGAGGTGACTTGAGGCAGACAGCTGTTAAAAAAACATTTCAATAGCCATCAAGTCGATAGATTTAACATCTCAGAAAAGACTTGGTCACTGAACAAAAGCTTGAGGACAGCCAAATCAAAAACCTTCTGCTTTTAGGCAGCGTTTCTTTGCTGTTATGGTGTTTATGGTTTTATGCTTAGCACTTATTACCTGCTGCCTCCAAAACTCACCAACATGAAAAAACTGAAGGTTAAAAGAGCAGGAATTGTGACCCCAGGTCCATCCCGGGTCCAAGCAATTTGTACAACCCATGTGTTGATTCCACCCCACGGAGTGGTTTCCTTATTATGCCATGACTAAGGGGAAGTGGGAGCAGGGATGTTCAGAGTGTTATGTTCTTGGGGGCTCAGAAGACCATAAAGGCAGCTGGAGAGTGAGGCCTGACAGCCTTCAGGCCAGGAGGTATTGCAAATCCAGAAGCTGGGTGTAAAAGCTGTCATTTCCCACACTTTCCATTCTCACGAGAGGTTCAAAAAAAAAAAAAAAAAAATTACTAGTGAGTAGTGTGTTTCTGAGAAAAGGTCCAGAAAATTACTTTTCCCATCTGCTCATTCAGAAGAATGAGAATACACAGAAAAAAATAATACACAGAAAATGTTGATTTCAGACTAATTTCTTGTACTCTTTAGCCTTAGTTCAGTCTGTGTGTAAACTTGATTTTGCCCCAAAACACAGTCTCTTCTGGATTCCCAAGAGGAGGCAGTCCATCTAGAAATTCTGTCATCTGTACTTTGATTTAGGAACCGAAATACCTGAGGTGTCCCAGAGGTGACTGAGACCTGGTTTGAATCACACGGTTCCTGGGCATCTCTAATCTCCTGCTGAGCCCCAAAGGCGACAAGAAGCTGCTTTCCTATCAGAGCCTTTGGGGAGATCTTTGACGTTCCCCTGAACCCAAGGGGAGTGCATTCAAAACAAACAGTGTTTTGTGTTGCTGGACTCCCCCAGCTGCCTTCAGAGCTTGCACAACACAGGCATCTCTGATTTGGCAGATATGATTTTTTAAGAATTGACTTCACAGATTGGTTTTGTTTTGCTCTTGCTATGGGGTGAGCAGTACGAATGCCACACAGAAACAAAAGAAAACACGCCTTCAGCCAAATTCTCTCTCACAGCCCTGCAAACCCACTCAAGCCAACTCAGTAGCAGCAGCAGAACTGAGCAAACGTGTTTTAACTCCAGAGATCCCTGCAGTTTACGAACCATTGGCAGAATTAGGGGGACAGAAAGTGGTTCACTGGTCTAAGCAGAGAGGGGCCAAGCACCACGCTGAGTCTCGCTGTGCTTCTGAAGCCAGGTGGTACCAACAAAGCCTGGGTTCGTAGGTTCCCCAGCAATTTAACACCACATCCTGCAACCATGGGCAGGGCCAGTCCGCGGGTCTGTTTTGTAAATAAGGTGAAAGAAAACAGGATTCATGATGCAAGATACCTGCAATCTAAGTAAATGTGTCACAACACGGGTATCAAAATGTCACCTCTAAGAGGTAGGAAGGGTAGGAAGTAATCCTCTCTTTCTTCTTGATTCCTTGGGTGAGCTGGAACCTGAATAAATGATCTGCTTATCTGTGGATGTGGAAAGCAAGTTGAGTGTCACATTTGGACTGATAAAGTCACTGGAAGAGAGGGTATAGGCAGTGCATCTTCCAGTTACTTACTCATCCTTGTTATAGTGAGATGAAAAAATGGCTGCTGTTAGGATTCCTCAGCATCTAACGAAGCCTTATGTGTGGTCTTTAATCTTCCCAGCCCACGTTGAGTGATTTTCTGCTGCAACCCAACTTTGTGTAATAAGGCTCTGAGGAATTAGGTCAGTTACACACCCCACGCCAACATTGGATAAGTGTTTTTTTGTTTTTTTAATTCAAGTACAGGGGGGGTAAAATTTGGTGATTATCTGAATGCCATCAGCATATCAGTGAAGATAGTGTGTGCACACAGTGCAGAGTAAAACCCGTGAGGTGATGACAAACTGACTCTGACCTCAGGGACAGCCCACATCAGAACAGCTGGAGCCAGGCCTTAGGCTACAGGTTGAGAAATGCGTATAATAGTTTTTTGTTGTTGTTGTTTTTTTGTGAAACATCTTAATTACATGTTTGGAAGTCCCAAAAGCATCTTGTTGGGCAAAGAAACTACACCCTTTTAAAACATCTTTAATAAAGAAGCAGCTGACAGTCTTGCCGAAATTAACTTGTGAATTTGTTTTGCTTATTGTGCTGTGTGCTGTGATGGAGACTACTAATACATTTTGTTATTGCCTGTGTAGAAAAGAGAAATTCACCCCAGGCTCCTTGGACTTCTTGCTATAATGGATATAGAGGGGGATTTGAATTTAAGCAGTTTTTGTGTAGGAGAGGGAAGGGAAAAATCTGACCCAGAAATATGAACTACAGAAAATAAGAATAATTAGTAAGATATAGTTTTATGTGATTAGCTATGAATAACTGGCCAATTTCTGTTGTTGTTATTATGTTTTTCCACGTGGAATCTGGGTGCAGCAAGTCTAAGATGAATTTCTGTGTAACACGTAAGGACAGACAACTATTGTACGTTGCTCACTGCTAAACTAGTCTAAATAGAAAAGATGTCTGATACCAAATACAAACAAACAAACAAAAAACAGAAAAACAAACAAAACAAGCACATTTCCCTTCCTAAAGCCTCTTTTCAAAGCCAGAGAACATAAACTCTATTCTTGGACCTGCAAGTTAACCCCAGCTCTGGTGGACCATATGAACCAGGCAGTATAAACCATGCAATTTATGCAAAGAGCATCTAGGTGGTGTTATTATTGTTGTTATTATTATTATTATTTATTTCGGTGTTCACATTTAGCTCAGTGTATTAATATGTGAAAGTAGCTCCCTCTAGTGATGAGAAACTTTCATAATTTCCATCCTCCTAATGAAAATGCAATGGAATAACGAAAAAGCTTGCAAGTAGTGACATTGAGCCCACAGGCGTACATATAGTTCATTCAGAGATATGGTAAGTTCTGTAGGTTGCTTAAATGAGTTTGTTTAAGTGCCTTGCTGAACTGGGACCCAAGAGCTCTTTATTGTTGATTAGTACAATACTGCAGTGCTTATGGAATTTAAAAAATAATTTAAAATGGAATTTTAATTGCATTAACATTGGGACAAAAATCTTCAATGCTTTTTGTACTTTCTGTTTTCTTGTATATTCATTAAGTTGCTTTCCTAGTTTTACTCCTTCATACTGCAAAAGTAACTGGTCAAGTTTTGCTAGCTTGCTCACTTAACAGGCTGCTGAGATTATGATTGTCTGTAATCACTATTCCTCCTTTTCCATGGAGCGTGGAGCCCAGTCTGTCCTCTAAGAAGAGCTGTTGGATCTCTGAGCACTTCGTGCTATAAGGTGCCAGGCATTCTGCTTGGTTCCAACAACGCAGTTCACTCTAATTTTTCAATTTCTTCTCTTTCAAATACATAGAGTTAAATGATGGTAAGAGGTTGTGTTAAGTACTTATTGTTTGCTGTCGTGGTGATGATACTTTTGTTCTAGTCTCTGTCCCTAGCATAGCAAGAACTATGGCTGCTGTTGGTAGATGAGAAAAAATATTCTGCTGTCAGCAACTTTTTCTGTTTTCTATCATGAATATTGGAGGAATTACGTCTGACAAAACTGGCTGTCTGAAATCCACAGGAACTGATCAGTACTTATCCTAGTTTCTTCCAATTCAAAGCATTTTTTTTTTCCCTCCATATTGAATATACATATTAGTGGTCTTTTAAAGCATCATTTATCTTTTCTGTGGCTGCTGTTCTACTTCTGTGGTGTGCCAGTTTTCACTGTTAAACAACAGGAAGGTCTGGTCTTGGAAAACAGATATGGAAGAGAAAAATACCTGCTCTGGAAAATACACACAGGAAATACATAAATTGAGTGGAGTCTGGGGAAGGTGGCATTTTACCTCATACTATGTCAAATTTTCATTTTTATTTCATTAAGTAAAGCAAAGTGTAAGTCAGGAAGCGTGTGGTCAAATCACTCAAAGCACTTGACGTTAACCATACTGATAACTAGTACTAACTTCAGAGGAATCACTTAAGTGATTCTGTTGAATTTAACAGGATGAAATTTAACAGTGAGCGTTGTTTTGCCTGAAAGTGAGTATATGTGATTCATTACAGTAATATGATTCCTTAATAAGGCAAAAATACCTAGTTGCTATGTCAGTCAATGTAATGAATATATTACTTAGTAAATTAGTTACCAAGCTGAGTTGGGAGAGCACATGCATATGGCTGTCCTGACATCGCTATCACCATTTTTACTAATCCATCACATGCTGTTTTTCACACTGCTGCTGGGAGGTGAGGGGCATTTTCCCATGCACATCTTATGCAGTGCAACATGAACGTGACTAATATCCACATCCCTTTATCTGTCTCTGTGGAAATATCAAAGTGTTTAGGCCAAACAGCTGATTTGAGCAGCATTCTTAGTTTAATTGTCACTTGTAAATTTTTTAACTAATTTCTACCCTCCAGCCCTTTGAAGTAAAGCTTCTTTATTGACTGTAGGTCTAGGTTTTGTGTCATTCACATGACTTCACAGGCAGTTGTT